TTATTATTATTATTATTATTATTATTATTATTATTATTATTATTATTGTTGTTGTTGTTATTATTAGGCAAACACATATTGTTTATCTTTATTTTTAAAATAAATATTAAAGGATTATATTTGAAATAATTGAAATTAAAAAAAAGATGTTTCGATTGAGATTAATGAAAGAGGCTAGAATTAATGTGCTTGTTTCTCTTTACTGAAAATTTGGAATGGAAAAGGTAATAATAGAATTAAATATGCATATATGAATGTATAATTGCTGTCATATTTGTATGTAAAGGTGATGATCCGGAAATATGTTGTCCACTAAAGAGATTTTTGTTTTTAATGTGAAAAACTGAATAAAATTTGTTAAAAATAAAAAAATAAAAAATAAATAAATTAATAAATTGTGCCTGATTTTATTATTATTTTTTGCCACAATTGTTAAGCAAACAATTGCAGTTTTCAAATGAAGCATGCAGTCATTAAATGAATCTGACTTCCTCTTTTGACTTTTCTTGTTGAAAGCTGGCTAGGAAAGTTGCAAATAGCAATCATGTGACCCCAGGATCCTGCCACTTGTCATAAATACATGCTAGTTGCCAACGCCCGACTTCTGATCATGTCTCTGTGGGGACGCTACAACAGTTGTTAAGTGTGAGGAGCAGCCCTAAGTCTCTTCTTCCAGTGGCGCTGTAACTTTGAACAATTGTTAAAAGAATGGTTGTAAGTTGAGGACTACTGTACATTTTTACATGGTAAAAAAGGCATAATCCTCCAGAAGAAGATTCCATTACCATCCTTTCCTCAGCAGACAGACCTCTGTATCGAACCATGCCTTCTTTAATTATTTCTGTTTCTTCAAAATTAGGATTATCTGATAAAATACTGCTTCTGTTCTCTTCTAGCCACATCTGGAATCCAGTCTTTGGCCTAAATACAGTACAGATGAGAAAAAGATTTGAAATAAAAGCTTTATGCTACCTATGAACATTTTTATTCCCAGAAGGCAGAATCAATTCAAAATAACAATGAGACTCTTTGGCACACTGACCTTTTATTATCTTTGTTCTCAGTCACAGTTTGAAGTTCAGACGATATAGTTTCATTTTTCTCCCCTCTATCTTCTCTGGCTTTCTTTTCAGTAGTAAGTGCTCGGGGCTGGAAAAATGCAGTTGCTGCAGGCTGAGCAATGAAATATATATACTTTAGTAATTCATCGTAAACGGCTGCTTTATATATTGCATTTCATACTCTTAAGGTTCTCAGAGCAAGAAGCTCTAATTTAAGCAAGAAGCATCCACCTAACTCCTAAGGGAAAATATTTTTGCAGTAATTCTTTACTCAATAGTTTTGGAAGCAGTAATATTAATTACAATGGAAGGAGACAGTGAGATAAAGAAATAAAGATTTAAGCAGTGCAGCAAACTAGGATTTAAATGGAAAGTAAGCATGTTAACTCTATTCTAATTCAATTTAGAATAATTTTTGCTCTGGGTCCATCCATTTTCTTGATTGCTGACTGTTTAAAGTGCAGCTTCTATAAAGTCTCTAGGACTAGAAACAAAAATCATGAGGTTTATTTCTCATTAGCTTTCAGATGAGAAATGTTTTACTTGTTTGTATCCTACCTTTATTATTTTTACATATATCTCAAGGTGGCAAACACATCCAACACACCTTCCTCTTCCTATTGTCCCAACATCAACACTGTGAGATTAATTGGGTTGAGAGAGAATGACCGGCTCAGTCACCCAGCTGGCTTTCATGTCTAACGCGGGACTAGAATTGACTGCCTCTCATTTTCTAGTCTGGTGCCTTAACCACTAGACCAAACTGGCTCTAGTAAATATAAACAGTATATAAGCAGTAGTTGAAAAGCAAAAAATGTATGCTATTAAGAGTATTTGTATATACTTAGAGTAATCCAAGTACGTAATATATGGTATATCATTAATATTTCTATGTGCTCTAAACAAAGTTAAAATTATTAAACATTATGTCTGGGCCATTTCTAACTGCACTATTCTATTTCACTCCCTTGCCTGCCTTTCTTATTCAGCCACTGCATGACAGGGAAAGAAATTGGGGGTGGACGGGGGGTGGAAGGGACTATTTGGGCCACCTTATAAACATTTCCTGAGTTGTCATCAAGAGCAAATTTCCTTTTTCTACTTAATTAATACTACCACCAGTTTTTTCAAACTTGACAGGGAAACAAAAAAGAGAAGTCCACTTGATACCAGTATCCTGCCCCACCTTTTCCAATCTTTTTTCCTGCCAATCAGTCTTTGGATAGTCCTTCTGCTTTCATTACATTCCTAAGACTTGCTACACCTGATAAAAGTAACTTTGCCAAGCTCCGTTTCCACAAAACAAGATGGAGGTCCAATCCATTACCTGCTTTGACTTGGACTTGGGAATCAACGGTTTGATGATTGGACTCTTCTTGTTTGGAACTCCTTGACCATTTATCGTGGGATTTTTCTTAGGCAGCCTCGTCAGGTTATCCAGAATATTGGGCGAGTGAACAAATGCATCTTTTTGGCTATTGGATACCTATAGGAGCAAGAGATTTAAGAACTCATCTTTCCTCTGTGGGACCTCAAAAATATCTTACTTAAAAGTAAGGTAAATTAAAGCCATCAGTTCTCACCTTAAAAGGATTTACTCGTACTGAGTTGCTAGATGCAATGACAGCTTTCATTAACCAAAAAAAGAAAAAGAAAAAAAAAGGTGGGGAGGAAACCCAAGAGAAGAATATCAGTGCAAATATTTGCCAAACTCTCTGCATGTGTATTAAGAAATTATACTGAACGATTTTTATTTACAAGAATTAAGCAGGGCTGTTCATATAGCCCTGCCTCTAATCATTAGGATATGAACAGAACCTTCTATCTAGATGTTAATTTAGCATTCAATTTCCCGTGAAGATATTTCTAGATAAAATCTAGCATCTGTTTTTCGGCCTGCCTTCACAATTACTGCTTCTCCAGCAGACTGTGGTGCTCAAGTCCTTCCCATGGTTCCCATTTAATCAAAGTGCTTCCTTTTGAAGGGTAGTGAGTTGGAGTGTGAGGATGTTCCCAACTGAGTTGATATCATATCCGCATATGGAGGATGTCTGAGTTAGGCCCGGGCATTAACACATATCTTTTAGGATTGCTAATTTTATTCCCCCACCTTTTTAATTGTGTTGTAAGTTGTGATACATTATTTCATATCAAATTTGATATAATTACAATGTTTTTAAATTCCATTAATTAAGTGACTTGAAAATTGGAAATTAAAGGAAAAAAGTAGATATTATGTAAATATAAGCTGGAAGTAAAGATATCAGTGTTATGAGCATTAAAATTATTTGGCTTTTTCATTTAAATATAATATTGGAAAGGAAAAAATAAAAATGAACACACTGTGATTTGCATTAAGGTGGTAGTGCTCAATTTATAACCATTCATTCAAAGTTACGGCACTGAAGAAAATGATTTATGACTGGTTTTCACATCTGTGACTATTGCAGTCATATGATCAGAATCTGAGTGTTTTGCAACCGGCAAGTATTCATGACAGTTGCACTATCCCAGGGTCAGGTGTTCATCACTTGCAACCTTTCCAGCTGGCTTCTGGCAAGCAAACTCAGTGGGGAGAGCCAGATTCACTTAACAACCATGTGATTCACTTAATAACTGTAGCGATTTGCTTAAGCACTGTGGCAAAAAAGGTGGTAAAATGAGGTGCAAGTCATCTAATAACTGACTTGCTTAGCAATGGAAAAGTTGAGGACTACCTACATATAAAGGTTTTGGTCTTAATCTAAATTACTTAATATTAAGGTCTGTGTTGTCCTGGTGTGTGTGTGTGTGTGTGTGTGTGTGTGTGTGAGAGAGAGAGAGAGAGAGAGAGAGAGAGAGAGAGAGAGAGAGAGAGACCCACAACAGATAATAAAAGGAAAAAATGAACAAAGAACTTTTTAAAAAAGAACTATCGTTTCTAATTTTTTTCCTTTTTATACATCTGCTGATTTGCAATATTTGAACAATTTTCCTTTTTGTATCACCTAAATACTATGGTCTCTCAGCAATTTACATAACCTTATTACAATGTTGCAAGGAGAAAGTTGGTTCTAATGAGGGGCACAAGATTATGCTAAAAGCCATTAAACTAGCACTTTTGCATGACACTGTTTCTGGATAAAAAGTCCCTGGGAGAGCGGAGCCCTTGATTTGTGAAACTGAACTGATCCATCACAATCCAATGGCAAACTATACAGCAGCAACATTGGACATAATAGAGCTCTGTATTAATCAGGAGGCAAAATTTCAACGGAGGAGCGATTGAAGAAAAAATTGAATGACGTATAAATGTTTCGAATTTATTTCCTCAGCTTAAAAGATGTTCATGAGAAGAAAAGCATTTAACGAATTGTGTGGGAGTACGGTTGCATAGCTGAAATCTAATATTTGGACAAAATGTTTAACAATTAAGGGGTTTTCCTGCCTACAATAAATTGTTTGACTTACCCGACTTCAAAGCAGATGCATTTCTATGCAGCGTGGGAGAGCCTTCAGAAGAATTAAAGCAGAGGAAACATTAATATTTCAGTGGAAATATTTAAAACATTTCCCAGTTTAATTGAGTATGACTACATGTGATAAATATTGAAACAGAAAGGATGTACAATAGGGCTACAAATGCACTAGCACTTTTGAACTTCTCACAGCCACTCTTACCAACTCCTCTTTCTCATGAACTTCCTAGCATTTTCCCTGCAGGTGCAGGGTTTGCTTTTTGGATCAACAAGCGCCATCTTGTGTGATCAAACACAGCATGCAGGTCTAACTGGGCATTTTTCATGTCTGCACTTATTGTATCTCGCTTCAGCATTCCATGTGGGGACTTACCCTCTCCTCATAACTACTCATAAAAATGTTCACTGTGCTCTCCCAATGTCAACATTGTGCCACCAGAGGATCTCCGACAGGGCCCTCCTTGAGGTTGGAAGCCTGGGGACAATTTCTGAGGACTTCCAGCTCCTCACAAGTTGCCCATCTCTGTTCCATGGGGTGATCCTTCTCTGAAAAGACTACCCAGCCTTCAGAATCTGAATTTATAACCATGTAGCCTTCTGCTCTAATATTCATGGATGCTTGCTCAGCTTACTAGATTTTGCCTCATTAAGAGTATTCGCTTTCTCCTCATCCTCTTCATGGGTCTCCATACTTTGTTGGCGTTGAATGTTTCTTTCTCGAGGATGACTCCATTCTGTGGGGCTGTTACTGTACCTGCATACAGAGAAACCAAGTCAGTCAATGGCTTCTATTCTTTTGCTTAAACTATCAAGAAAAGGGCAACAGTCACGCATCCCCTACAAGAAAAGCCAGGTTTAACAAAAATGATAAAATAGCTCCTTTCATTTCCATTATACAGGCTATCCTGGTCCTCATGGAATCAATTACTGAGTCATTTCCATGAAAATAATACTTTTTCAGTTTTCTGGGCTATTGCCCAGATGATTCACTTCATTACAGGCTACTGTATTTTGTTTCCTTCAGTGACAATAGCCACCGCTGGGTCTGTCCAGAGCCTTTCTCCTTTCTTAACTGCATTCATCCCTTTCTTAACGGCATTCTTCCATTCTGGTTACAAAGCTTCATCTTTCCTTTTACCTAGAGCCCTTTAAAAGAGCTGGATTGCTGATTTTTCCCATCCTCTCCCTGGCTCAATTGCACTAGGGCGTTGCCTTGGGTTGAAAAGTATGCTACTGAATCCAGGCCTTGGGTTTTTGATATTATACAGATAGTTCTCAACTTACAACAATTGAGATGAGGCTTTCTGTTGCTAAGCAAGGCAGCTGTTAAGAGGGTTGCATCCAATTTTATGACCTTTTTTTGCCACAGTTGTTAAGAAGATCATTGCGACTGCTAAGTAAATCAGGCAGCTGTTAAGCAAAGCCGGCTCTCCCCCCCCCCCCCCCCGATTTTGCTTCTTAGAAGCTCGCTGGGAAGGTTTCAAATGGTGACCAGGTGACCCAGGGGTTCTGCAACCATCGTATATACATGCCTGTTGCCAAGTTCCCAAATTTTGATCACATGACCATGGGGATGCTAAGTAAGTGCGAGGACCAGTTGTAAGTCACTTTTTTCAGTGCTATTGTAACTAAAAACAAGTCGCTAAATGAATGGTTGTTAAGTTGAGCACTACCTGCAATTGACAGCCTTTTTACACTGTTAATCTGACCCGATGGGACAATTGGAACATTTTCCTCCACGGTGAACTTAGGAAGCACCTGCCTAACTTCAAACATAAACAAAATTGAAAGAATTTGCTATGCGTTTGTGTCCGCTTCCAGAGTTCACTTTTACCCAGCATTCAGATGGTTTCTAAAATCCGGTGGCTGCTTCTCTTCTTCCTCTTCTTGCTCAGCATACGCTTCAGCAGATGCCAGCTCTGAGATCTTCTCAGCGGCAAGTTCACTGAGTTTCTGGGCAAGAATTAGCCTCCGCGAGCGAGAGGCATATTTGATAGCTAGGCTCGTGGCGTTTTGTGTCATGAATTCAACAAGCTCCATACAGCGAAATTCACGTTCCAGTGTGCAAGATAACTATTTTTAAAGCGAGGAAGAAAAAAAGTTTTAACATTTATCAGAAAAATATTTGTTTGGGGTGCGGGGGGAAAGAGGATAAAAAATGTTTGTTTTCTAAGAAAAAAGAACATTCAGTTCTCATACATTCTTTACTAGACACAAATTCAAGGAATCTTAACACATCCATGACAGAACAGAATGAGTCCCAGCTATTTTCTTATAAAGCCATTTCGTAGCTGTGAAAATAACTCCAATTATGATGCAACAGTAAAAGTGAGCAACCTCAGGAAACTGCATGTAAAACGTCCAACTGAAGAAAAACTATATTTAAGAGACAGAGAACATCCATAGTGTAGTTTTTTTGAATAAAAAAAATAGTGAGTTCAAGAAATCCATGTCTCCTTCTGCTTTTCAAACATCTATTTCATGATGAGCCTTGTTTCCAGTTAGCTATAATATAACATAGGCAAGGACCAAACTCTTCACCTAATAATTAACTTGCACAGCACATAAAATCCACTGGGAAGCCTGAATAAATAAAAGTATGGGCTGAGGAAGGATCTCTTAAGAGTCTTTCTCCTTCTCAGGTTCCTCTCCAAAAATTTATATTTCAAGGAAGCTGAAACAGGCTTATCTTGAAAAACAAATGGGTTTGGCCAGGATAGGCCATTTTTATTAGGATCCTGGCACGTACAGATAAGTGTTAAATTCTCAGTCTTCACCCCATAGTTACAAGAATACTCGGGCTTCCTGGGGCTATTTATAAAACATGGTAGGGTAATCAGACAATTAATTAATTTCATTTCTAGGCTGGCAGCTTTGAACATAACTTGCTGATCTAGGCAACTCATTTCCTGAGCCTGGTTTTCCTTTATCTCTGGATCTGGCCTTTTGCTTCCCAAAGCTTTTGCTACTTCTGATACAAATGCTTAGGCACATCCATCTCCTTTAGTTCAAGTTTCTTCTGCCTTAGACCCTCTCCTTAACTGCACCTTGCTGCCAGCTTTATGCCAGTGGTTTTGGTTCCTCTCTCTTGCAGCAGCTCTGTCCACAGTCAAATTATTAGGACCACGGGAGGAAGGGAAGCAATGAAGCATCATCATGACACGAAACTCACAAAAAGATGCACATTTCATCTTTTTGATGTTATTTCAATTTCCCATGGACACTTGCAATATTTTTTTTCTGTTGACTGGCAAATGTCTACTTATTGTACAGGATGACTATCTAAAATGTCTATTTAGATTCTCAGTCACCCAGGTCATGGTTGTCTCTAAGGTGCTTTTTCAAGAGGCAACTGGACAAGAAAGTCCAGTTGCCTCTTGAAAAAGCACTTTTGAGATTATGACTAACGTATACTGAACATTTATGATATGTATAGTAACAAGTTACATTTTGCCTAGTTTTGTACTTCAAACTTTCCTTGTCCATTTCAGAGTTAGCAAATATAACAACTAGTCACATGAAATAAATGATTGTGTGGAACAGACAATTAAAAAAATTATAAAGAAAAATGATTAGGATTTTTTTATTTAAGCAATATAATAATCAACCGTCTAAGAAATTTTACTCAGGTAAATTTGAAATAACTATTCCCAATGTGGTGCCCTTCCAATATTTCACCTTAACTCCTGTATCAGCTTGGTGGGCTGAGGCTTAATAGAAGCTGATATCTAGTACACTGAAAGGCATTAGATTGAGGACAGATTTATAACTTTACGCACTTACTGCAAACATTTTCATCAGAAGATTCTGCTGCTCTTGGACTGCCTGGCCTTTCACGCTTTCATCATATTCATATCCATTTTGGGATAAATAGTCTACATAGTTGTGGAACAAGACTGAGCGCCAGAATTGCTCCTATAACATGCAGGGAAAGGAAAGAAAAACACAGTTCATCTCAACTATTTTATCATGGCTGCAAGATATATAATATAAAATTTGGTACTGAATAAGGAGAAATTTATAAATTATTCTGAAACTGTGATAATTAAAATTCCAAAAGACTGGAAATAGGCAAATGAAACAGATCACATTACTTGGAATTTGAATTAATTTGAAAATATAAAGGAACCTTTACAAAATCAAAATAATGTAAAGCAAAACTGATTTCCCCATTGACTTCGCTTGTCAGAAGGTTGCAAAAGGGGATCACATGACTCCAGGACACTGAAATCATCATAAATGTGAGTCAGTTGTCAAACATCCCAATGTAAATGTAAACCATGTGCCTATGGGGATGCTACAATGGTCATAAGTGTGATAAATGAAACAGTCACTAAATGAACTATTGTAAGTCAAAGACCGTTGTAGCATATTCATCTGCAACTAAATTGTGCAAATAAACTCAATATTAATTTAATAGGAGAGGACCACTTTATGGAGATTATCTACATGCATGATATTTAGAACATACCTAATGGGAATATAAAATTACAAATTACAAAAAATTGCAATTTCCATGCAATAAGGACAAAGTGGAAAGCAAGCAAAATGGATCTTTTAGACAAAAATAGCAAAACTTATTTCAGAATGGATCTAAACACTAAATTATACATTCTGGTTACCCACCTCCATTTGACCCTTATCTGTTGCAGTTTGACAAAAAGGGAGCTTAAATGGCAGTACTGTTACCGCAGGACGGGGAAGCGTAGCTGGAAAACGAGCTCCTTTACAAAGAATGCATCTATTTAAGAAAAATGCAGAATCAAAAGATATAGCGCTACCCTTTTCTCCTTCCCAGAGTCCCTATAGCATAAGGAGGCTGCTTACACATTCAGCAGTATACATGTAAAGAAGAGGAAGTTTGTATTTTTCTCATTTTTTTAAAAAAGATCAGGCTAAAAATTAACACATTTTAGGGAAAAAACCCTAAGCCTTGAATATCCAAATACTTGAATTAGTATCCAAATGAGATTTCTCTAAAAATAGCAAAACTATTCCTCTATCACTTTAATTCATTTAATATAAGATGCCATATTGTTTTATAATTACTTAGCAGAGCTTTAGTAAAGTCAAAGACACAAAAAGATTGCTTGCACAGAGAGTATAATGTCACAGTCATCTTAACTATCGCCTGGCCTAATAATATGCTGCCATTTTAGGCAAACCAGTGAGTAACTTAAATCACTGCAAGGCTGAGCCAAGATAAAACTTTACTTTATCAAGATACCAAATTCACTGAAGTACATCAAATAAGACTAGAAGCTCATGAGCATAAATGCGGTTAGAGACAGTGTTTCAAATTTCATCTCTTATATGCACAAGTCTACTAGTGCCATTCTATTAATTATATTTCATTGTCTATTATGTTTTGAAGTATATTACATTAGGGATTAAAGGAATGAAGCCTAAAATATTATAAAATAAATGCATTGTTCTTATTCAATCAATTAATTAAAAATATTAACTGGAAAGTGTTTTCACAATCTAAACATCTAACCCAATCAGCCACTCTTTTAAAACCAAGTGTTCAATCAAGGTAACACTTTCACAGACATCCTTTTTAGCTGTGTTTAAATTATGTGTTTTCTGTCTTCATTTATCTTGGATGAGCGAAAGGAAAAAAAGCCACAATGACTTTCATTCATACTCGTCTTCCCAGGCTGAAATGTTCTGAGGTTTTAATGAATTTCCTAGAAAAGAGTTACTTGAAAGGGGAATCGGAAGAACACAATATTTTGTGCGTATGGCATGCTAGTTCCACAGGCCTCTTTTTCGTAAAAAAATAAATAAATTCTGGAAGGCCCTAGTTTAAATAAAATAAGGCAATGGGAAGCTGACAAGAGAGGATGATTGAGAAAACGATCATTCAACAGATGTTTGAATATTTCTGTGTTGAGGACTGTTCTAAAGAACAACAGGGACAATTTTAAATTATTGTTGTACCTGAGCTGCTGAGGGTTTTCATGAATGCCAACAATCCAATAATGGTTTGACTTCCCTTTACAGTGCTCCCTTGTATTACAGACTGGGGTCCAAATATTACTATGCCTTCGGTTCAGCATTCGTACAATTCCCACAGAATCCACATAACAAGGAGTACCTAGTCATTCATTAGAAAAGCACATAGTTTTGTTTCAACAATCACTGCTCTTTGAAACAGCTGCAGATTCATGAATGAACTTGACATTAAATGCTACATCTCTCATCATCATCACTTATATTAAAAAGAACAAAACATTTTGAAGAAAATCAACAGACTTGTAGCTAACTTTGGCAATAACTCCCTCTTCTGGTAACCCAGAGTAAAAATCTATGGACATTCAGTGTAGTCTGTCCATTCCTTTTTTTCCCTTTCCTCTTAGGTATTAATAGCATTGTTTTGACATTGATTATAGATGTATAATTTTTAGTCGACTAAGCATGTGATTTCTTCCATTCCTGATGTCTGGGTTGAGGATTACAAATGTACAAAGAGTTGATCACATTCACCTTCCCTCACTATTATTTTACCATTAGGATTAAAGACATAAAGACATAGTTAAATTAGGATTTAACTATGTCTTAAATGATCCATCTTACCTTCTGCTGAAAATCCTACCCATGCTAAATAGGATTTCCTGGAAAGAGGAAGAGATTCACCGTGTAAAATTTGTCTTTTCTTTTTCCCAAGTTCTAGAAGCTGAATTCCAAGACACTGATCCCCTTCAAATCCAGTGCCTACAAATAAGGGTGAGGGTGGGAGAGGTACAGTGTTAATTGTGACCAAAGTAAGTCACACTGAAAAGTTGTGGGGAAGGGTAAAGAAAAGGAAGGAACTTATGTGCGCAGATGCAAATTCTTCTTTGTGCTTCTGAATCATTGTGATGGATTTTTATTCCAGAGTAATTTAAACATTGTCAATATGATTATAATTTGGGACTTAATTTATTTTAGGAACATAAAATTATATTCATGAAGTGAGGTCTAAAATATTTGTCCAAATGAAATTCTAATAGTAATAATAATACATCAAGAAATTGCAGCTTCCTGCAATAACACCAGGGAACTGAAAAAAACTACACTACTCAGAACATAGTACATCTTAAGAAGGTGCTCGGTTGATACCTAAGACGCTGGCAGCAACCCGTATCAACCATTAGCACCAGTCACTGGTATTTGGGATATATTTTTAAATGTTCAGTTGACCGAGTTTCATGCTTAATGAATAAAGCATATAATAATAATAATAATAGCAGTAATTATCATTATTCTACTTTTACAGAAACCACTGTGAGATGTAGAATAATGTTTGCTTTGTTTTGAATCCTTAAGTTCTACCTTTTACTAATATTGCATCTTTTTTTAAAAAAATAAAGACAATAGAAAGCTAGAATGAATCATGGCTGAATGACAAGAGCAGACACTTAACGTGTAGATCACGGGTGTCAAACTTGTGGTGTCACGTTGCTCTCACATGACATTTTGTGACTTTTTTTCCCTTTGTGGAGCTGGGGTGGGTGTGGCCTGTGTGTGATGCATCTGGCCACGAGCCGCAAGTTTGACACCCCTGATATAGATGATTACATGCTCAATATCTCCACCCAGAAGGAAAGCAGCAACACAGCATAAAGTCTCCTTGTTTTACATTACTGCTATAGGAAGATTTGACAGCACTGAACTAGTTAACAACTGATTTTACTTAATAAAAAAACTTTCCTAGCCCAAGTTTTCCTAAATGCAAGCACTAGAACCAGGCAACAAATTCTAGTTTTGGATAAAAGTAGCAGAAAGTTACAAATCTTAGACACTTCAAGACAGCTTAGTCATGTGATTAAAATTTCAATTCTATTTGGAAACCGGATGACTTAAAAAATTCAAAGCTATAACGGCATGGTGTTTAAAAATTTTAAAGAGGAAACTATGTAGAATGACCAAATGTTTGATTTAAATTTGCCCTAGACTCAGGATGCAAAAGGGCTCATTTGAACATCAAACGTTTTCTAAGGTCAAAATGTTTGGAAATTCCTGGTCTTGGAAAACACTGTGCATCTATCTATCAGCCACATTCCTTCCCCAGTCCTACAAGGACACCTGAAAGAGATTTGAATAATCTACATTTTAAACAACTAAACAACAAAGAATACCAAAAGCACCTTTGTGAAAGACCACCAGGAGCTGCTCTCCATGTCCTGCCATCGACACCACAGGTCCAGGGAAACTGAAAATCTCTTTCTGAACTCCGCCAATGGTGAACACACGAAGCAGAAGAGAACTAGTGGCACATGCAGCCCAGCCCTGGCCCAAACAAATAGCTTCAATGACTTCATCCTGCAGCATATCAACAGTCCATTCCTTGTTAGGATCCCAGGAGTTGAAATGGATGCAATGTAGCTTGCTAAAGATGAAAGAGGGAAATGAATGTAAGTATGTATATGGGGAAGTCCAGATACATACCTCTTGCCTTGCATTTTTGTGCATTATAAACTAAAATGCTTGTTGATTACACTGATGCTTTTGAACTAATATTAAGTAGCTCCAATTTGGAGATCTGCAGTTATCGGTTTCACTTTTTCTTCATTCTCCATGTGATTTTTTTTTAAAGGAAAATCTGAAGCAATTAGGACTTAACAGTAGCTCTGAAGTGCACTGGTCCCATCCTCATCACTCTCGCTCCCTTGCGAATTCATGGAATACAAAGTTAGTTTTATTGGTTATAATTCACAATTAAGTATTTTGTCTTTTTTTACCTTGCTAGTTCCTCTGTGCTCTCACAGGCCAATAAAATAGCTTCACTGGAAAGGTCTGCCATTGTGTGATTCAAATTATTTGGCAAATGCATTGCATGATGTACTGCAGTATCATGGAATTCAACATCAATAGCATTGTCTTGTTCATCATTATAGCAGCGAATAATACCCACAGAGTTCCATACCTATAAGGGGGAGGTTAAAGCTTGTTAAGAAGATAGAAATATTTCTGCAAGGTTGACTTTAGATCTGCCATATGTATATATGTACACACACACATACACCATATAACTCACAGCCCGTTCATAATCTCTGGGTATGTTTAATCAACGGGTGAAGTTTGAGACGGAGGGAATGAGAGATGACAGCACCATCAGTGGAAGACTATATACCAAGATAGATACCGTACATTATATAAGTTGCAACACGAATTTGCCATTGAAGTAAACTCAGAATAAGCAAGTAGCATAACAAGGATCAACATCTGAGAGATAAGCTAAATTCCCAATTTCTGAAATAAATTTCCATTCTCTCTAGAAGCAATAAATTCTATCCCCCCCACACATTTAAATATACTTAAATACGTTTATCTTTCCCTCCTATTTTTGAAGAAATCTATATTATTTTAGTCATAGTCAGAAATTCAAAGACACCTACCTCTATTTTTGAAAAGGTTTTTTGCGACTCATTTTACTATAAATACTCAGTTTTAAAAAGAAGAGAGTACACAAAAAGTGCAGTCAGTATGTTAAGGGGACCAACTGATTATACTTATCCTGTTTTTATAAGAGCAAGTTTATAGTCAATAGCTATAGTTGTAGTAGTTAGCTACTACCAGTATAGTTATAGTAGTTAGGTATATAGTTATAGCAGTTACTTAGAAAATGAACTTGCTCTTGAGATTTTTGTGAGAATTGCAGTCCTTTATCCATTTATACTGATAAAGCCTAACAGTTTGAACGTGATCCCAACACCATCCACATATGTTAAAAGCCATTGTTTTGTACTGTGAAACTGCTTATGTAGGCTATTTGGAAGCTTCATTATTATTATTATCATTATTATTATTGCAAATACTGTTATTATTACTATTATTTAAATTTATATGCTGCCTTATTCTTATCATTTCTGGGCTATTACAAATTACTTAAAATATTAATAATCTTATTGTTTAAAAGGTCGGCTAATGAAGCGCTTTAAAACCTGAAATTAACCATGAAGCGGTGAGTGAGATGTGTTGGGGTAGAACCAGACTGGAATGGCTTTTGGCGAGGAGTTGGCAAGGGCCCACTGTAGAGCGGCCTCTGGTCAGAAGGCAGTGGCTGAACTGGAAAATTGTCCAAATCATCCTCTTCTTCCTCCTTATCAAGGGCAGAATTAGCTTTCAGCAATCCAGTATCTACAGAAGGCAGATAGATCATATCAAGACATTTTATAACATCTTCAGAATGCTGGCAGCTAAACCGACAGCATTACATGATTATAGATTTATAATCATGGTTTGCAAAGGGTGGGAACTAACATTGTAGCACTATATTAATCAGTATTCAACTAGAGGGGACAATATGTGTATAATGTGTTGTTTTCTTTTTTTGATGATTATAGATTTACAGCTGCCTCAACATTCAGCCCCTCCCTCTGCTTTGAACCTCCTACTTTGGGAATTTCTAACCTAGAGAGTTCTCATCATCTTCTATTATTGCGCCTCGGTTTCTGGGACGTCCCGACACGTTAAAGTCATCTTCATCTTCATCATTTGTTGCTGCCTTAGAGCCCCAGTCATCCTCACTGAAATCCCTATTCAGAAAGTCCTCTTTGTCATCCTCATCAAAAAGTTCATCGTAGCTTTTGATAGAAGAATCAGGTGCCTAAAGTCAGGATTTAACAATGAATAAAATATATGTAGCCCAAATGAGCAACCATTTTAAAAAAAGGAAATTACCTTCCAGTCAATGTCAGATTCATATGATTAGGTTCATAATCACAAGTTAATTTTAAAAAACCACAAGGAAATTTCCAGTTTATATTACCTTATGGATTGATTTCTTCCCTTCTACATCACAGACATTCTCAAGCAGTCCAAGATTGCCTTCTGTATCTGTATAAGCAAGCTGGCCACCTTTGGGATGCCATGCCAGACCACAGACAGTGTAACCTTTTTCATGTTTCACCCTAAGAAAGGCAATAATAATAAAAGATGCATCTGAAATCATTCTGATAGGAAGACTTTTGCTAAGCAGCTACTCAGGTCTTATACAGCATGCTAAACCAAAACCAAACAATTAACTTTATGCTACTTGATCAAGCCATGTGAATGTAGAAAGTCTCAAAATTTGCCAGTTTTGATTTTATGGTATAAGTTATCCAAACCTTTTATGTCATACATTAGTGGCTCCCATACTTTTTCTTTGTCTTTGCAAAAGCCCATCTTTTGTACTGAAACCAACTGGTACCTTTCCAGACATTCTTGAGTTTCCACTCTCCAAATGACTATATAGCCACCGATACTTCCAGCTGCCAAATATTGTCCACATGGAGACCAGGCCACAACATTTAGAGGCTAACGTGAAAAAGAAAGAAAGTTGACAGCTGTAAAGATGTGCAAGTAATAATCTGAAGTTAGCGAGGGTGTGGATGTTCTAATAAAGGAAGTTAGCAAGTGCCAGGTGAAGAACTCGGAAGTCGTAAATTTTAACGATATTGAGTTTTAATATAGAATGGTGGTATGATTGTGAAATATGGGTTTGACTGTTAAGCAACAGGATGTGGGGACTAGCAGGCACCCATGATGGGGAGATGAAAACAAGCACAATGCTGGTTGTAACAGGCCAGGAGAGATATGCTAATGGCTGCCATGTGGGCCATTCTAGATGAAAGGAAATAAATAATATGGAGTCAATCTCCAATTCTAGCTTAGTGACCTAATCCAGGATTCCGGATATTGGATTGTTGGTGACCTTGGGTTTATCCTGCTGTTGGTAAACCTCAAATCATGTATATAGTAAGATTGTCCTCATTCACAACCTGCTGATGAGCATGCAGACCTGGCATGTATAACTGAGATCTAGCTGGTCAAGGGCAAGCATACCAGCTTCTTAGTGATCTGCCCAATTGGGTTTTGGATCTTGCATCTGTAGATCCCTAATAGTAATCTATTTACAAATGTACACACAGTCAATGTTAGGAGGAAAACACACTTCTGTAACAGGCAGCACAACTGTTGCTTTTGCAAGATTTTACACAGCTCATTAAACAAAGGTACCTTAACTTCTGACTACTATTGATCATAGGTCTCTGCTTTTACTTTGACATACATACATAAGCCAAATATCATACAGACTTCCCATTTAGCACCAAACTCTTGCACAAACAGACTGACTCACTAACTATCAATCAGCTTAAGAAAGTAGTTTTCTCTTCCCTGATACCAAGCAAACATTACTTAGAACAAGAGCAGATTAAAAAGCAGCTACCTAAAAGGAAACCAACCTGCGTGATAAAATTGTCTGATAGATCCAGTTCATGATCCCATGTTTCTCTTCTATATAGTTTGATTGTTTTTTCTACTGGAATGGCTAGTCGCTATTTGGGGAGAAAAAAATGTTAATAAGATGGACCTGATTTTTAAATGCCCCTTTAAAGAAGTTCTATCCTGGTTTCATTTACAAACAAACTCACACAAACCAAATACTTGGTCTGTAGACATCTGGGTGACCTATAATGGGGACTGGTTTTTAGTTTAGTGTGGTTTGTGAACATGGATATTGGCCACGATGGCTTGTTCAACATGGCTAATAAATTTTATAAATAAATAAATAGTTAAATATCTTGGTTTCAACTCAAGGAACTTTGGAATACATTTGAGCTACATAGAATAGAGTTGGAAGGGACCTTGGAGCTCTTCTAATCCAACCCTCTCCTCCGGCAAGAGACTCTACATCATTTCAGACAAATCATTGTCCAGCCTCCTTTTGAAAGTCTTCAGGGATGGAGCACCCACAACTTCTGAAGGCAAATTATTCTATTGGTTAGTTGCTTTCACCGTTACAAAACTTCTCCTTAGTTTTAATTGTTTCTCTCCTTAGTTAGTTTCCAAACATTGTTTCTTGTCTTGCCTTTTGGTACTTTGGAAAATAATTTGACCACCTCTCATCTTTGTAGGAGCCCCATAAATATTGGATTTGCTATAATATTCCCCCTAGTCCTTCTTTTCATTAGAGTAGACATCCCCAATTCCTGCAACTGTTTTTTTATATGTTTTAAGCCTCCAGTCCCCAAATCATTTTTGTTTCTCTTCTCTGCATTCTTTCCAGGGTCATGTGGATTGTGTCCTATTCCAGAAAAGCTTTTCATAAAGTATTGAACCAAGTCTCGAGAGATAATAAATGTCAAGCAATCACAGATGTTACGCTGAGTTAGAATAGGGCAGGATTTTAAAATCCCTTTGTGAGTCCTCAAGAGCAATAAAGTTCTAATAAATGTCCTATTTCAATCAAACAACTGCATGATGTAACATGCCAAGCATCAGCAACTTAATTTATCAAGCCTACTTTAATGAGAATCCTGTAGCCCATTCTAGTTCTACCACTGATATGACTAGAGTTAGCTAGATGAGAAATGGGATTTTCATCAAAATTATTAAGACTTCTACTTTCCCTCAATCCTCACAATCCAGGCCAAGCATGATATACAAACATTTTTGTTTGGGGCTCCTTTACACACTCACTTTTTCCCCAGAACTGACTGCTAAAGCACTTTCCTGAATGCAGCCTAAATATAATGGGCTTTGCAGAGAAATGCTGCTATTAGCTTTATAGTACTATTCATGAGGTATTTTTACTAGATAACTCTCTTCTCCTTGTACACATTTTTGTTTCCACTTGCTTGTCCAGGTGAATATTTTTTGTTCTCCAGTTCTTTATGACTTTTTTTGTTGCCTTTCAAAAATAAATTGAATTTTCCTTCCAACTCCTCCTTCTACTGCTGCTAGTTTTTTTTTCACTTCTCTCTTCTCACTACAACACTTCTTGCAAGTGAACAAAGTTCTCAGAAAACGGGCAAAAGGAATGATGAGTGATTCAAGAAAGCCTGGAACTTTTAGGACCCTGTGACTTCTTGGCATAAAGAAAAGGAAGGGCATCTTTCCTCCCCATCGTTTCTCCCATTATTTTCCTTGATTCTTGCAAAGCAGCAAAGAGGAATTGGGGCAATGGGTAACCTGGACTTCCACTGTGTCTTTTCACTTTTTTTGCTACTTTGCAGATATCTTTCACAAGCAAGGAAACCAAGAATGAGGCTTTGGTGTTGCCATCTACCCACCTGCCTAAGTCAGCATGTGTGTGCACACATGCACTCACCCCCAGAGGCATCCATATAAAACAGCAGTGACATCCAAATAATGACATGTGTCATCAGTACCGTTTCTTGCAGACCATCATAGCGCAATGCATGCGCACATGCACACAGACACACTAAAACAAAAATAGACAGGTGACTTATTACCTTTCCTATTTTCGGTTGCCAGCTCAGTCTACATAGGGATTTTGCATTTATCACATCATTACATTTTTGCAGCAGCGGCCAGCTTATCTCACAATTCTGGAAGTAAAATAAGATAACGGGTGTTAATTAGCTTGACATAAACCTTTGTGAAATATAAAATATTTTGCAAGTTGTAAGAAGTAGGTGTCGGGTCATCCTTGTCAGCAGCCATATTGACTTTTTAAGCATGAAAACAGTTACAGAATACTTACTCTGCCATTCCTGGAACGTTAAAGAGATCCAGGTTTAGGGCCATCCAGACATGAAACTCCCTAGATAGTTTTAACAAGTTATCAATCTAATTCATGTGTGACAGCCCTGTTTTTCAATCAATTGCTTTAAAAGGAGTTGCTCTTCCAAAGTAAATAAAAATAAATTACTGCTTCTCACATTATTATTTTCTTACTATATCCTGGGGTTTCTTGAATTATTAAGAGTTCCCCACTGAAAAAAAACATGCATTTTCCATAAAAAGAGCTGGACTATCACAACTGACTTTCAAGACAAAACATTCCTAAATGTAGTATTTATAACTCACTATATATGTTAAGGTTTGTGTTCCAAGCAGGGGTGGGATGCTGCCAGTTCTGCCCGGCTCTATAGAACCGGTAGATCTGAAGAGCAGCAGACACAGAACCGGTTCTGCATCTGCTGCTGTTTGGCCCACCCGCCTTCCCGGGCTCTTACCTGACCTTTATTTCCTGCTTTTCCAACCTCAGCTGCTTTGTGTGGCACAGCTGCGGTTGAAAAAAGCAGGGAAAAAGTGCTTTTTGAAATGCTGCGCACCTGCGTGCAGCACTTATCAGCTGTCCCAGTGGCTCAGCTAATGGTGTAGTACATGCGCGCACAGCAAATACTGAACCAGTAGTAATGCCGGTTGAATCCCACCCCTGGTTCCAAGCTTCATTGAATCCAAAAAAGTTTATTCCAAATTGCTAAAAGAATTATAGTCTACAAGTTTAGCAAGATTCAAAATGGGAAACAGAAAATATTATTTACCTGTTCTGAAATTTTCCACACTCTGACAGATCCGTCACAACTAGCCGATGCCTGCAAAAGGAATATTTTTAAAGATAATAGCACCTGGCATTACTTACTGCTTAGTACTTACATTAAAAATGGCAGAGTTCAGTATTATGATACTTTGTGAAACCACATCTTTGCTGACATACTTTTCCTGAAACATCCCACTCTGGCGGAGAATGTTTTTTTAAGCCAAAAGGCAGGATGTAATTTTAATACATAAATTACTATTTATTAATTCATTCACCTGACTGGGATTTCCTTGCCTGTAGGAACCAGCTGGGTGAAATCTGAAACAGGTATTTAAGAACATTTATTATCCTACTGTAGAAAAGGAATATAGTAAGTAAATACAATATATTGAAAAAGATGGTAGTAAAAACTCTAAAAACTGGGTACTTTTAAACTATCATGTAGTCCAACAAATATACCCTTTCATCTATTTATGCTATCTATGTATTTGTGATAAAATATATTTAAAAAGTGAATCCCCAAGAGGGTGGGGGTGCATTCCAGAGAAGCAAGTGGCAACTCAGTCTTAAGGCAGCCTTCCTTAATAGTTCAGAGAGTATATTGTAGATCAGGGGTCCCCAATCTTTAGTCGCAGCCCACTACTGGGTCCTGAGCTGTTCAGAACTGGACCATGGAAATGGTGGGCGAGCGCGCCTCCTACGCATCCCCATTTGCGTGAGCTGCAAGAGCATTATGTCTATCACTCATGGATATGGAACTGCACGTATGCATTTGCCTACCGCTCGCACGAAACCATCCCCTCTCACACACACCCCCACCAGTCTGCAAAGCCAGAAAGGTCGAGGAACTCTGTTGTAGATGCAAATAGCAGTCCTCAGACTGGCAAGGTTTTGTCTATAGGTGTGAAAATAATAAAGAACTCAGCTTGAAAGATGATCATTTTTTGTTTTGTGCCTGACGGTATTTTTATTTATACAAAATATGGTACAATAATTTCTCCATCTAAATATGAACCACAACCAATCCCTTCAAGTCTTTCTTAGGTAAAAGATAATTGTTACATCACTTTTATGGTCTACAGAAATGTAATCATGCATGTAGGTTTACACATCATCCACAAATTTGATTTTGAGCTAATATTTCTTTGATTTACCATCATTTAATCTTTTTGGACACAGCCTTAACAAAGACAAAGTAATAAATAAGTTCCCTTCATTAAGTAAATATGAGATTAACTCATAAGGTATAAGTTAATAAATTGGTATACACAAGTTCCTGCATCTGTAAACTGTAAATTAATCTGTAAATGAAATGTTGCGTTGGGAAAATACGACAATACAAAATTGTAGAATTATAGAATATGTTATTAAAAAGCAATGAAAAGAAAGTCTATAGGACATACCAGAAAGGTATCAGTTGGATCCAATGACACACTCAAAACAGGTGCATCATGTCCTCGAAATGTCTTTTGTTGGCTGCTGTCAGTTACATCGACTATTTTCACCAGAAAATCACTAGAGATAATTATAATTAAAGCAACAACACAAGAGTAATTTTAAATTGAATAAACAGTCACTGTACCACCATTCTAAATAGCATTTTAACTACCTTTTAAGAGTCATTCTTGGGCACATCTATGGACACACACGTACATATAACTGTGGAAGTAAAATCTCTCCAAGCAATAGATTATTCTAAAAGATTGTGTGTGTTCGTCTTTGAATAATTTTTAACTTTTGGTAACTGGCTGACTAGATCCTGCAGTTTTCTTGGCAAGGTTTTCGCAGATGTGGTTTGCTATTGCCCGTTTCCCAGGGCAGAGAGAGAAAGTGATGGGCCTAAGATCACCAAGGTGGCTTTATGCCTAAAGTGGAACCAAAATTCAGTCTCCCTGTTTCTAGTCTGATGCCTTAACTATTACATCAAATTGGTTCTAATTTTAAAATTAAAACATGTTAATTATTGATTAAAATAAACAATTATTTAAATAAAATTCTACCACAAACACACTTTAATAACAGATCAATGAAAAAATCTGAAACCATTTTTAAAAATAAAATCATACAGCCTATTTATAACAGCAAGAATTAAAGAATGGCTGTGGCAGTTTAAAACCAACTTTCTGAAACTTATTAATCTTCCATAGCAAATACTATTGTCTTGCTTATGTGAAACACTCAACATCAAAATTCCCTTTTGAGCTTTCCATATCCCACAAAACGGATGACTACTATGAACTGCTGCTATATCTCTATAAAATGTTAAAAATCTGAGGCAACTTCTCCATCCTGAAGCTTCCAGATATTGTTGGACTGCAAATTCCATTACTCTGATCTGTCGTTGGCTTTTTGACATGAAGTGGAAAATGTAAAATCACCCATTTGGAGGACAACAGATAAAGGAAGGATGAGTTAAAAACTGTCTTAGAAGGTCAGTGAGCAGAGCATACAAAGTTGCTGGCACAGAATGCTTATGTCTTAGTTAAAGGAATACTTCTTTCCCAGAAAATTCAGGTAGGAAAAATAATCCATACGTGAAACAGTTTGGGTATTTTTCTTTTCAACTCCCAAATATATTTACCTAGATCCAACAGCTACTTTGCTCCCATCAGCACTGAAAACAACATGGTTTGCATTTGTGGTAAAACGGGTCAAGATACCATCTGGAAGACCTTCTGGGAATGTATGGATTTGGACACTGTTGTTAGATACTGCAGTAATCAATCTCCCATTCTACAAATAAAGCAGTATTAGGATTATAGACTAGTCCATCCTTCATTGCCTTGAACAGAATATTTTATGTAATTTGACAGATAGAAAAGTTCTGAAAAAAAAAAAACCCAGTGATTTCTCTCCAACTGCTTCTTCAAATATTAAAGGCATTGATTACACCAAGCAACTGTAGGTGGACTTACTTTTTGAGATAATAAGGAATCCAACTTCATTTCTGTCTCAGAACACTCACGCAGAGACTGGAGAGATCACTGCCAATCTAAACCTTGCATTTAAAGTACTGCCTTCGTTTATTATTTTTATCTGCAAGTGCTATTCTCAAGTTTAGCAATTATTTTCTATACACAGATCCAAAGCTGAAAACTATAGGACAATATCTGAGATGCAGAATCGGTAGATGTTATTAAGGTTTAAGATTATTTCTTAAGGTTATGCTTTAAAACAAGAGTCAGCCAACACTTTGCATTGCAGGTATATATGATTTTGCCCAATGTCACATGTTCTTCACAAAATCAAAGAAGTGTCAAGTCAGATATTTTGTATATTTTGCCTATTTTAGAATATTTCAGAAATTTTGATTGTTAATTTAATTTCTTGTTTTTAAACATCCCTTTTCAATTGAACTATTATTTTAAACCAGGATCACCTAAATTGATGGTTTGCTTTACAAATTACAATGATTCATGTATGTGTATGCAAATATAAAGTTGAGGAAGAAACATGAAAACAGGGTATTCTGAAAATATGTAATGAATGGCAAGAAAGAACCCACTACATACTCAGGTTGAAAGACTAGGAAACTAACTACAGAACAAGATCAATAGTGAACAAAGCCTTGGGAGAAAACTGCAAAACTGTGATGAAGGAAAAAAAATAGAAGATTTGGTTGCATTCATATTATTAAAAGCATTTAGATAAATATATAGCACATTAATCATACATAAACATACAAAAACAACCAGACTTTAAATTTGGCCTCCTAGTCTCCTCTTTGGGTCTGAGTCTTCCCAGGGATATGAGATCAATATATTTTAATTTTGGGGTCTATTTTAAGGGGGGAAATAGAAGCTTCAGATGATGCTACATCTGTTAAATTTCCCTAAGTCTAACAGATGATAACTTCAAAATATTCAACCCAAATCTACAGGACAAAAAAGGAAGTGCAGTTTCCACTTGTGATATAAAAATTGGATGTGTTATAGAAAACACTAGATTTGCTTTGACATGCCTTATTCACCAGGGGGCAGACTTCATCCAATACTGAATAATGTACTGAAATTCTCTTAGGAATTTTGATCTAGACAGCAACAGAAAGCCAAACTTAAAGCTTAGAGACACATAGTGATTCAGGGAAAAACTGTAATTTGTATATATTTGACTTTTTGCTTCTGAGCAAGAAGCTTCATAATTTTTTTAAAATGCAGACATTTCTATTATCACTTCACAATAAAATGTAGGTGGTAACACAATGAATAAATATATCTATTATATGTAACTGAACGGTTGTAACTTGCAGAAAAAGTTATATTTTGCTACCCTAAGTCCCCACAATTAATCATTTGAGGTACATCTGATCAGAAAAATTGAAAGGGATGGATGAAAAGGGATAATTTATTTCATTTTACAAGAGTTTACAAAAAATTGTGAATGTGATCATAATTCTGTTCCTCTTAGATGAACAGCCTGACTTGTTTTCAAACCCAATTTTCTGAACTCAAGGCCAGATCATATAGATATAGGAAATTTAAAATTAACACTATTTACCTACCATGTTTTGGATGCAATGGTGATATTTACTGTTTTGAACATTTTTGAAGTATTTTGGGGTTAAAATAACCCTACTGAATTAGAAATGCTGAAATCAATTTTGTTTAGTCACGTTATGTGATTCCAAGTACTGCAGTTTGTACAGGTGAAACTCAAAAAATTAGAACATCGGGCAAAAGTTCATTTATTTCAGTAATGCAATTTAAAAGGAGAAACTAATATATAAGATAGACTCATTACATGCAAAGCAAGATAGTTCAAGCTGTGATTTGTCATAATTGAGATGGTTATGGCTTACAGCTCATGAAAACCCCAAATCCACAATCTCAGAAAATTAGAATATTATATGCAATCAATAAAAAAAGGATTGTACATAGAACAATATCGGACCTCTGAAAAGTATAAGCATGCATATGTACTCAGTACGTGGTTTGGGCCCCTTTTGCAGCAATTACTGCCTCAATGCAGTGTGGCATGGAAGCTATCAGAGTGTGGCACTGCTGAGGTGTTATGGAGGACCAGGATGCTCCAATAGCCGCCTGCAGCTCTTCCGCATTGTTCGGTCTCATGTCTCTCATCTTTCTCTTGGCAATGCCCCATAGATTCTCTATGGGGTCCAGGTCAGGCGAGTTTGCTGGCCAATCAAGCACAGTAATCCCACGGTCATTGAACCAGGTTTTGGTGCTTTTGGCAGCGTGGGCAGGTGCCAAGTCCTGCTGGAAAATGAAGTCAGCATCCCCATAAAGCTCATCTGCAGAAGGAAGCATGAAGTGCTCCAAAATCTCCTGGTAGACAGCTGTGTTGACCCTGGACTTAATGAAGCACAGTGGACCAACACCAGCAGATGACATGGCTCCCCAAATCAACAGACCGAGGAAACTTCACACTGGACTTCAAGCATCTTGCAGTGTGTGCCTCTCCATTCTTCCTCCAGACTCTGGGTCCTTGGTTTCCAAATGAGATGCAAAAGTTGCTCTCATCAGAAAAGAGGACTGTGGACCACTGAGCAACAGACCAGTTCTGTTTTTCTTTAACCCGGGTAAGACACTTCTCATGTTTGTTTGTTGTTCAGGAGCTGCTTGACAAGAAGAACACGACATTTGAAGCCCATGTCCAGGATTCGTCTGTGTGTGGTGGCTCTTGATGCACTGACTCCAGCCTCAGTCCACTCCTTGTGAAAGTCCCCAACACTTTTAAATGGCCTTTTCCTGACAATCCTCTCCAGGCTGCGGTCATCCCTGCTGCTTGTGCACCTTTTTCTTCCACACTTTTCCCTTCCACATAACTCTCTATTAATGTGCTTTGATACAGCACTTTGGGAACATCCAACTTCTTTTGCAATTACCTTTTGAGGCTTTCCCTCCTTATGGAAGGTGTCAATGATGGTTTTCTGCACAACTGTTAGGTCAGCGGTCTTTTCCATGATTGTGCTTCCTACTGAACCAGATTGAGAGACCGTTTAAAGGCCCAGGAACCCTTTGCAGGTGTTATGGCTTAATTAGCTGATTAGAGTGGGACACTTTGAGCCTAGAATATTGAACCTTTTCACAATATTCTAATTTTCTGAGATTGTGGATTTGGGGTTTTCATGAGCTGTAAGCCATAATCATCACAATTATGATACATCACGGCTTGAACTATCTTGCTTTGAATGTAATGAGTTTATCTCATATATTAGTTTCACCTTTTAAGTTGCATTACTGAAATAAATGAACTTTTGCACAATATTTTAATTTTTCGAGTTTCACCTGTATACTGTGGTTTATGTAATTTAGAATGATGTATGAATCCAGCCAATTGTAGTACAGTTTGCTAATCATGTTTTAGCAAACAAAGCACAATAAACAAATCTAGTTGATGTTCTATCATATATAATAATTATGCATATAGTGAAAGAAAACACACGATCATTTGTATCAGTTTCAGGAGTACCTTGAGAGCAAATGAGTAGGCTTTTTCGCCTACATTAATGGACTTTGGATCATCATCATCCAGGCTTTCCCAAATTCTTACATCTCCATCACTGCCACAAGTTACAATACAACTAAAGAAATACAATCAAAATAAAATGATACAATAACAATATGCACAACTATTTCAAACACACATAGATATCATTAAACTATGTTGTAAAAAAGATACTATATCAAACTCTATTTTTCCTTTAAATAATCCTTAAAGAATAAATGATACAAGCAAAGATGCTGGTCTCAAGGAATGACATTTATAGGATTGATGTTTCCTAAATAGTTCCTCAGGTTAATTAATCTCAGGTATACATATACATATTAAATTGCTACTGTATTTTCCTTTCTTTTGTCTTCTTAAGTGAATCAGATCAATCTGATTTCTAAACCAGCTTATGATTTACCACAATGTGCAAACCCAGCACACATATATGCAAACCCACAATGATTCACTTAAGGATGGCAACTGGGAGTACTGGAATCACATCACTAAGCAGCGTGATCACACAATGCCACACTTTATGACTGTATTGCTTAGTGATAGCAATGAGGATCCCAGGTGACATTGCTAACAACCTATGTACATTGAATTTATTTGGTTATTTATTTTAATTATATTTGGAAAGAACTTTGGCATGGCTTACATGGTGGGGTGGGGAGGGGGTGTTGAAACCTAGTCACTTTGAAAAGAGACTAATAAACTTTATAATGTGTTGTCATGAATCCAGCACTAGTTTCTCTTAATTCATTTGCTGCTTATTATTCAGTCAGGCACAGATGACCATTGAACATACTTTCCACACACAAGGATCAGGTGTATGTTTCCATCATAGTGCTATGCTGAACTGCAATTGAAATGTGTAAATATTTTAATACCTATATACTCTGCCTTTCTGCAGTGGTGCTCAGTGTGCCTGCAGATAATATAACATAAAGGTCTTCTATAAAGTGGAAAATTGCATATAAAATAACCAGATAATATAATGGAAATAATCAATGAGATTATAAAAGGTAAGGAAGACCTCACCAACTAATGTAAAGAACACTGTGATTAGGTAAAGAAGTCTTTTACAAAAACATTCAGTATTTCATAATTATGAAGGAGTGCCTTGTAATTCAACAAGTTAGATACAGAACAACATTTGAGCTCTACCTTGGGTATTTCACAGAGCATAAATCATTTCTGTGTAAAAAGATATGCAAATTTCTCATTTTCAACAAACACTTGGGGACATCTGCCCACCAATAATAGATTTCTGTCTTTGGTTGCCTAATTTTGTGCAACTAAGCACATTTCAAAAATATCTGTATATGTCTTAAGTAAATCACTAGATAAGCAAAGATAAGCTTCAGTCACTCACCTTCCAGTATCATTGAAGCAGACATCTGTCTGGCCTTCTGTATGTCCATATCTCATTGGTTTTTGTGAGGACATTTTCTTTGCCTATGTAAACATTATAAAAGGCTTCAGCCTTAATCCATGACAAAAGCAGCATTTCTACATCCCCCAATAAAAACTCTCAGTCTAGCAGAAATAGAATGCAAATGCAGAAATAAAACTGCAAAATACAGTGCATGCCTCTTCTAGTGAAGAATGATCCCTGGGATTCTTTTTTTTTTTTTACTGATGCTCATCCTGCAATCCAGAATTTTATCAATTATACAATCACTATTTGAGGATCAGGGATAGAAACCCTAAAGGTTATATTTTATTTCAAACTTTCTCGACCAAGTGCCCTTCCAAGTGTGCTGCATGACCTCCCACAAGCCACGCTGGGATTAGGATGATGGGACATGTCGTCCAATACACCAAGAGAGCACTAGGTTGGGGAATGCTGTCTATGGCTCAGCTAGTATAACACGCCTCGTTCCCTTCCCCGTTGAGGTCACCCGAGAAACGGCGACAGGAGGGCTTTCCCCACCGGGTCCTGAGGGACGTGCGTGAGAATACCTACGGGGGGGGACGGTCGTTCCCCAAGCACAGCCCCAAAGAGGGACTCACAGCCCCTCAACGGCAAGGCTACGCCGTCCTGCCATCCTCACTCACCCGCCGTCCTTCGAGCTTTCCCGCGCTCCGCTTCCGAGTGACATCATCAACGCCAGAGGTCGGACCGGGCTTTTCTTGGCCCTCTCATTGGGCCGTTGCACTTCCCGTCACACGCTCGGTCCCGCCTTCACCCCCACCCCAGCCCACCCCCCAGGAAGCCGGCTGGATCCTGTCTGGGAGGCCGCGGGGCGGGCTGGGCTGCGCCTGCGCCTTCATAACCGCCTGGAAGGCGGAGAGGAAAAGCAGCGCCTGTGGGGCCAGCGCGGCTGAGGGACTGACTGATGGCGGGAAGGGTGGGGTAGAAGGAGAGCGGTAAAGCCGCCTGGCTTCTTTAGCTCCCCGTCCTTCTTAGCCCCCTTTTCCCTCGAAATCGTAGGGGTTGTTCCGTTCCCTCTGTCGCCCTTCTTTCTCATTCCTCGTTCTGCATTCTTTCGCGCTATTTAAAGCTTCTTTTGGGACACAGATTTTAGGAGGGGGGAGAAAACACGCTCCTGTTTTGCAGTAGCAGCAGCAGCAGCAGCAGCTTTCTTGGCCACGGTCCCTTTTTCTTTTTTAACTGTTCTCCCTTCTCTATATACCGAGACTTCGGAAGCTTTTCCGGATCTTCTCCACCCACCCCCAGCCTTCTCTCCTTTGCAGCTTAATTTTAACCATATGTAACCAGAAATAAAAAATCTTCCATGTATCGTAAAGGGATTCGTTCCTCCCAAACGAATGCATTTCGAATTGCAGCTATTGCTTCTCCTTCTTAACTTCCATCCATCTTCAGCCACTTTTTCCTAATATACTTTGCCTTTCAATTTCCTCCACTTCTTTATTTTCCCAATCTTCATCCTCCAATCCCTTCTTTTCCTCCTCCCTCCCTCCCTCCCTCTCTCTCTTTCTCTCACTCACACACACACACATACACCCCACACAGAAGGTTTAAAGATCCTCCCCTTCAGTTCCGACATCTTCCTTTCTCTCCTCCTTTCTCATCCTTGGACCCCCTCAGCCCCGATCCTTCCTCCTCCTCCAGCTGTGCAGTTGCTCCGTCATCCTTTGTGTCTGATGGCGAGCAGTGGTGCCTGTCAGTGCCACGGTATTTGGACGAGGTTTCTCTTTCTTCCCTGCTTTTTGGCATCCCTTCAAAATGTTTCTTCGGGTGAGCAGCAGGTGAGCATGTACACGCATGGGGAAGGTGGGGGGGGTGGGGAGATGGAAAGAACTGGCATCTGTTCATTCTGACAAAGTTATCCCTCTCCAGGAAAGATACTCAACTTTTATTAGCGACCACGATGTTGGTGAAATGTTTCTTTAAATCCTGGGGAGAAAAACTGAATTTGAGATAGAGATCCATTGTTGGTAGTTGGAGGAAAAGGAGCAAACAGAAAATTAGTTTAAGTGTTAATTTCATAGTCACAGCCATCATTTCAGCAGCATAATTTAAAGAAAACATTTTTTTTCCTTTTAAAAAATGAAAACTTATGCAACAATAAAGTTATCATTTAAAAAGTTTATTTTAAAATTCTGGAAGTGCATATTATAAAATGTTTATAACCTGTAGTAAATAGCTACATTGCTGATTGTTTGAAGTGCAAGATTTCATGGAAAATATTTACTGTGATTAGTTTGGCATTTGCATCATGGTGATTGCATCCACCTTCTAAGTTTAGCCAAGGAATGGTAGGTCTTAAAGTTAGAAGATATCATCTTTAGAACAAACACCTGTTTTGTTTTAAAGAGCTTTGATTTGCCAACTTGTAGTTTTAAAAAGTTAGAAATTTATTTCTCTTCATCATCTGGCAGTTCTTTCTCAATATGTTTTTAAAGTTCCATGGAAATGTCACTTAGACTAATTGAAATAGACATATGTGGGGACATTTATTGATAATATTCCAAAAGCCATTTGTTCATGTTTTCATCCTGAGGCTGCTCCTTTTAGAATAAAAACTAAAAGTTGGAGAAATCACATGGCGTGTGAATTCTTGTTCCTGCCCACTTATGCTGGGAAGTTACTTTGGCTGTTACTGACTCTTAGCTGACAAAATATATAACTAGTTTTGGAAAGCTTATTTGGCCATGTTTACACTACATAGGGAAATATTTTTTGTCTCATGCTGTACTTTGTTAATAGGACAGATCATTTTGGGGAAATTTATTAAGTGAGTGCTTATTTTCTTCCTAGGAAAACAGGTATATTTTTACTGGTTTTAATTAGAATATTCTAATCATTTAATAAATCAAATATCTAATCAAATATTTTGGTACAATATCATGCCCTACATACATTAAATCATGACATACCAAAATATCATAACACAATTCTTACTTTATTTTAGAAAATGTTCTTAATGCACTTTCTCTGCCATTTAATGTAGAATATCTGGGGTTTTAGGAGAATTGTGAGAAATGACTTTGGAGGATCTTTATCCTTTTTGAATGAAACTGAGAATATTTCTGTAAGTGGAACCATCTAGAACAGGGGTCGCCAACCTTTTGGACCTCAGGGACCACCAAACTCATAATTTTAGATCCCAGGGACCACTAACCGGTTCTGTGGGTGTGGCCTAATTTGTGGATGTGGCTTGGTGGTCAAGTGACTGGCTGGGCATGGCTTGTATGTAAATATTATAAATATTTATATAAATATTGAATTTTTTTATAAAAAAGAGCAACTTTTACCCAAAATCAGGCAAAGCAGGCAGACTGAGTTGCTCACAGAATCATTCGATGATCTATCTATCTGCCATCGGCTAGCTCAGTCTCTCAAATTTGCTTGCCGTGAGTCTGCACTGAATTTGCTTGCAAGCAAACTTTCAGTCCTAAGGGAGGTTCAGCTGTGCTGAGCCGAAGACTAGCTAGAAAAGCAAGAAATCCAACCATTTCCTGCTTCCTAGCTAATTTAAATCTCCCTGCACAGCAGAACAGATGATGGTTGGAAAAGGGAAAAATAGCAATTTAGCAGACAAGTTTACCAGGTAAGGAGTGAGTGGCCAGGGAGGGTTCCCGTGGGCCATGTGGGCGGCACAGCCTTGTGTTTCTCTTCATAAAAGCTTCTGCTACATACTGTAAATTCATCTAGGAAAGGTGAGATGTTCCGAATTAATTGTGCTCCATATCAACAAGCTGCTTTGGATTTTTCTTCTCTGAGTCCAAAACGTATTTGGCAAGTTCAGTTCAATATATTATTCCTTATACCTAACATACATGAATGTTCAAGATAAACCACTTGGGCAGCTTTTAAAGAAAAAACATTTGGTAATATATGTGTTAAGAAATTATGAGAAAGGGGTAAACTCTGAAGTGATATAATATCCTCTTTTCCTTATGTAAAATTCCCTGCAGAATGTAGTAGTTTCCAAGTGAATAATAATATTCTTTCATTTTCAATCAATATATTTGCAAAATGATGCACAAATGCCTTACGCAGTCTGCATAATATGCAAAAAGTCATTATGCGAAAGGCCATTATGCAACTTCTGTTCTAGTCAAAATTTGGTATCAGAAAAGAGATGATGTGCACTTGAAAAGAATTAGGACATGGCTTCTAGCAATATTCTGTCTTCCTGATTTGATGTAGGAAAAGATCTCCCTTCAGGATAAAATCTATATCAAGCTTTAAGTGAAGTTAAAGTGAATGCATCAATTTCCATGCTCCCTCTCAGATAAGATATGACATTATAGTCAGAGAGGCAATCATGTGTCAAGGAACAATGGCTAAAATTCTTCAGTGATTTTCATGCTATGATGACTTGTTGTAGCCAAAGATCATATGACTCAAAAGAATTCTTTGCTCTATTGTTTCTGTGAGAGCTGGCTTCACACTTAAAAGTTTTTCAAGTGCAGTTACAAATGGAAGACACAAGCCTTCTTTTTACTGAGATGACCGGCCTGTATCACCTCTAATATTTTTCTGTTAAAATAAAGCAGATGCTATACCCTGACTTTCCAAATTGCTCACTCCTTTAATACTGCCCTCCGGGTGAAAAGATACTTAATTAGATTGCCATTTACTTTAATTTGTTTTGTTGATATTAGCAGATATGAAGTGATGTGTACTTAGTTTAAATGTCTATATATTATGAAGCTGAGAGCGTGACATTGATGAGAAGGAGAACAAGAATGAAATATGGACTTCAGTAAATCTATCAATACAATTATGTGAGTGCTTCTTTTGAACAGGAATTGTATTTGTTTTTTGTCATCAGACTGTCCAAATGTAATTGGCCTTTATGTTGATAAAGTTATATTCCCAATTTGTGCTTAAAGTATTTTGTATTTGCATGCGTAAGATTTTTTTAACTGTGTTGTGGGCTTAGGTATTGCTTTAAATCTATCATTAAGTTCAACATGGTGCTTGTTAATATAACATTTAATCAAAAGTCCTTTTGTCTTGCTCAATCACT